TAATAGTCCCTTTTACAGTTGTGGGCTTGGTGGCCAAGCCTTTGAACAGGAGTGAGGCTAAGGGTGACCCTGTTGTGATAGAGACCTGTATCTAGTTAGCATGATAACAAAGTAATTTGCATTTGAAAACCAGCAACATCTCTATCATAACAAGGTCACCCTTAGCCTCACTCCTGTTCAAAGGCTTGGCCACCAAGCTCACAACTGTAAAAAAGACTATTGTAAGATCTGATCACTTGTGGTTGGATGGGTCATTTGGCTCAAGCATGCATGGACTTTTACTTTTACCTTTAGAGAAAATGATGGAGAATTCCACACTTATGCGCCAATCAATTTGATGCTTCAAAATCATTTTCCTCTCCTCACCCCTGGGTAACCCAAGGGCATTTGTCCTTTGTCCATGCGGGGAGCCAGTGGGGAATTTGAACTTTGCCTGGCTGTGAATTTGAATTTGGAAGTGTCAAGTGTTATATCTTTCATTAGTATAATTTCAGAGCTGAGCAAAGAGTTTCCAGCAATCTGATTGGTCGAGCAGTTCCTTATATGATGCTATATTAAGCGCTCCATGCGGTTTATATAAAATGTTAAAATAAAATGTTGATAAATGTTACTAAAATGTTTTGATTTTAGAAATTTCTCTGTTGTTCAGCTCTGAAATTATACTAAAACAATTATTCACCTCAGGTTTGGCGAATATTGTTGAATAATCCCCGAGACGAAGTAGAGGGGATTATTTGATGATATTCACCTCGCCTTTGGCAAATAATTTTTAAATGTGGAGGTGTTTAAACTAAAAGTAATATTTTAAAGGGTTCACTTTTGTTAGTAAATGGCTCAGGAAAAAAAAAAGGTTTAAGAGGTCTTAGTTTTTAAAGGTTGGTCAACGTGTAGAAAGTCATGGTCATTGATTTTGCCTTTTACAAAAAAATTGGCCATCGATACTGGCACTTGGGTGAGGAATTTGAATGTAATTTTTGCTCTGGTGGGTGGGAATTTGAACAAACCAATCTTCAAAAGTTCAAGTGCCCAGTGGCTTCCAGGGGGAGGGGGAGGGGGCGGTTGAAGCGTTGAATTGATCGCCACATTACTGAGTTGAAGACCTGATCCTCTCAGCTTGTTGAAATCTCAGTCACTGTCACCAACAACAGTGCTTTCTGAGGGCTTGGTCCTCTCAACTACACAATCAGATCTGATGTACTGTCCAACAAACATTTTACTTTCAGGAACGAGAGAAACAAGATGCAGCTAAAACAAAAGTAGCTGAAGAAGAATTACAGTTAGGCTGTGAAAATCAAAATGAAAGTGTCAGGTGAGGCATTAGAATAGGGTGTGAATTTTCAAATGTATTTTCCTTTTAAAGGTTCTGGTGTACATTTCTCAAAGTTCCCGCTAACTTAGTGGGCCTGAAGCCATATTTTAAAAGCAAAAGTTAGTGAGCAGAGAAGTAGGTTGTAGTGCCCTAACCAGTCCATTATGTTTCTATAGCTGATAGTTTTATTGTATAATTCTCAAAACTTTTGAAACCTCCATCTCAAATGAAAACAGAACAGCTTTGAGGGCTCATTAAATTACCAGGACCTTTGAGAAATGGGCCCCTGAATACTGATACTTATCCTCCCAGGAAAAGAAATGTAGAAAGTTTCCCCTGTGATATTGAGGTAGCACATACTATGAGCTTTCTGTAGTTCCATGACAGGACGGAAAAAGCATGCACTATAAGTACCTCCCGTTGTCCCATACAAAGCCTTAGAAAAGGCTTTGTATGGGAAAGGCTTTGTAGAAAAAACTTTTCTAAGGCTTTGTATGGAACAACGGGAGGTACTTACAGTGCACACGTTTTCCGTCCTGTCATGGAGTGCAATGTTCAAGCTGCTGAGGGTTGTTGACTCAACCTTTACACCCCTAAGAGTGATCAGCATCTAATTTCTCCTTACGACATCACCCATGAGTCACTAGCATAAAGGAAAAGATCGCCTAATCAGAAAGGAAAGGAGCTATTGATTGTTAAACAAACTCTCCCTGTCAGCACCTTAGAAAATGTATAGTGAACAGTATGGAGAATATACAAACTGATACAAGGGTTTGAAGAAGTCAGTCATCCATGGGCTTGGGTTATCATGATGGAACAGACTCTCAATTTGTCTCAAGTTTTTTCTTACTTTTTACTTACTTTCCTCCTCTAGAACAGTTTCTTTCTCTTATGCCAGACACGGTCAATGACCTAAACCCCACACAAGATAACCAGCTCAGATAAGCATGATAACTACAAGTATTTCTAGATTTTGTATTTCTTGTCAGCAAATGCTGTCTTTACTTCCAGTGCATCTAGCAAAGAAAACCAAAGAAAAACAGAAAAGGAAGAAGAAGAAGAAGAAGAAGAAGAGGAGAAAAGGTATGATTGAATTTATCTGATTAACTTGTAACTTCTCCCTATAATATCCATACATCATCCAGAAAACAGGTAATGAGAATACTCAAACTTATCAGGTAGAAATTACCTTCTTGGTTTAACAACAAATTCTCGTAACCAATTTACTGGGAAATGTGTAGCAGCTAGAGGGGAGAATAAGAATCGGATCTTGGCAGTGAAAGAGTTAAGGCTAGCATCCACTGACTGTGTGGATTCAAGATTAACTGTAATCATTTCTTTGACCTCATTTCAGATATTGGCAAGAGAAAACGGATTTTACCCCAGAGTCTCGAATAGAACTGCATCAGCATATTGAGGAAAAGCGCAAGCAGAGGGAAAAGATAGATGATGAGTAGGTGAATAGATTTTAATTACTGAAAAATTTCAAATCAAATACAACTTACAATATTTACGTAAAAATGTCAGTGTTTAGACTAGTTGTTTAAAGGTTGAGAGAATTGAGTTGGTAGACAGGCCATGTTTAAATGTTCTCTCTCTTTTAAGTCTATGCACAGTACGTTTGCTTGTGTTATAGTACTTGACAGTCTTATTTAAAACATAAAACTTTAATAAAAGAATGCAATTGTCTAATGTGTTTATTGTTACAGTATAATTTTTTTCCCAGGAGAATTGGAAAAAATAAGCCAGCCAAAGAAACAAGGTTCTTTGCCAGTGATGGTCATGTGTTGAATATAAACCAAGGAAAGTGAGTAATCTTGTACAGTCTTGTATCTCATTGTCTTAAAAATAAACACACACACACACACACACACACACAGAAGATGTCAAAATGTGGCAATAAAATTAAGAATTTCTACAGGTATCAGGGACACACTTGGTTGCACCTAGGGTGCCATTCTGTTGTTCTTAACACATTCATTTGTGTGGTCCATTTATGAATGAGGGGAGCATTGGGGTCCCTTAGAAACTGCAAAACCATAGAAAAAAATTATGAAAAACTGCAAAACTCCAAAACATTTTACAAAAACTGAAAAGTGTAAGCCAAATGGTCAAAACTGATCAATTTTCACATCCTAGTTATCAAAACCCAAAGTGATCTGATACAGTGGTGACAAGTGGAGGAGAGAGAGGTTTTGTGGCTCGTATCTTTGATGAGAACCAAAAGCCTAATAGTTGAAAACAGAAAATTCACAAACAGCAATGAACACCAAAACTGAAGTCTTTTAGCACTAAAACTGCAAAACCGATCTAAAAATAGCCAAATCCACAAAACCAAAAATCCCAGTGCCCCCCTTCTGAACAGACAGATGGCAATATGGATTTTATTTGTTAAATAGGTAGTGAGTTTGTAAAACCTCATGAGAGCTTGCTGAAGTACTCCAAGTGTAATCATGAAAGCACTTACTGTTAATAATTAAGTAGTAAAATGTGGAGCAAAACAATTGATCACCAAACAAAATTTTTTGTGTGCAGTAACTATCCTTGTTATGAAGTTTTTTCTTAAAGTTACTGGCCATCTCCCAGGTCTTATAAATATCTCTGTTTTAATTAACCTTAATTTTTTGGTCATACTGAGTTGACCTCTCCATTTTTGTAGTTAAAGATTTTGTGTTGATTATTTGGTGCTACAGATGGGATTTCAAGTTTGATGAGGATGAAGACAACAATAGATTTGTTTTGGATTTACCTTGTTTCAAGTAAGCGTTATGGGAGTAAAAGTTCCCGGGCACCTCCCTGTAACTGATATATTGAAAACTGATGTATTTTAGGTAATGTGTCATAATAGACTGAGATGACATATTTTAATGTAATGTGTCCTGTTGTAAATAAAGATTAGTGAAAAAAACAATAGATAAATAAAATAAGTTAGTTTTTGACCATGAGATACTTGTAAAATCCCTAATGGTCTGTTGCAGTAAACACTTTGCTTAATATGTAATCCAGCCTTCTTACTGAACCAACTCGGTAAGGAAATCATTTACCTAAGTGCATTTTTTCCTTTAAGGCACCTGGATACATCTCTTATTGATGTAGATGTACAGCCTACATATGTGAGAGTGACGGTAAAAGGCAAGGTAACAAAATTTATGATACTTGTAAGTTGGGGTGGAAGGAATAGTTTACTCCTACCTGTGTAAAACTGTGGAGGGGCAGTGGCCTCATGGATAGTGTGGTCAACTTCAGATCGAGTGGTCTGGGCTTGAGCCTTGGCTAGAGACATTGTATTGTGTTCTTGGGTAAGACTCTTTACTCTCACAGTGCCCCTCTTCACCCATGAGAATTTAGTGGGTACCGGCAAATTTAATGCTGGGGGGTATCCCTGCAAGGCTTAGCATTCCATCCAGGGGATAGTAGAAATACTCCTAGTCATTTCATGCGATGGAAACTGGAGTTAAGTGCCAGCCTGATGGGCCACCTGGCTTGTAACTAGGCTTTACCTTACCTTTACATGCGTAAAACTGGGTGTCAATGACATTGAGAAAGAGAACTGCTGTAATTGGCTGGAATCTAGTGACCATGCAAAACATATTGGAGAATGGGATTTACAAGAGCTTGACCTGCTGGATAAAATGATTTTGTCTTATTTATGTAGTCATCATTAAGGGTGCTTTATACCACTTAACTCCCATAAGTGATCAAGACAGAATTTCTCCTAACATATCAATAGAATATCAAGCAGGGAAGTGAAGAGAGTAAAGATAAACATCAACTAGGGGAATAACCTAAGACTGCCTTTTTACCCTGACAATGGGGTGATGGTTAATTAATAAACTTTTTTAATCAACAATGCACTAATTAATATTAAGTAATAATTCTCTGGGTTTTGTAGGGAAAAAATGGCCTCATCATTATTATAGTGAAGAGCAAACTGGCCTTTGGATCCCTCATTAGTTCTTAATAGGGTATTATTTGAATGTCTTCAATTTAGGAGAGGATTTGAAAATGGTACTTAAGTGACATGATTATGTTGTAGGTTTTTCAACTGGCTCTTTCTGACGAAGTTAACCCGGACTCAAGCTCAGCCAAGAGATCTCAAACAACTGGCCACTTGATCATTTCGATGCCAAAGGTATTTAAGGCTTTTTCAATAAATCTTAGCTTAATTAGACTTAGGTGTACAATAATTTCTGTTGTCTGTATTTTTTTGGATCCCCACTGCTGTACGTATGCACACATAGAGTCACAGTATTAAACAATTTTTTTGTTACTATTCATGTTACATTAAAGGTGCGACAAGTTGTAAAGCCCCTGAACAAGACTTTACCGACCAAAAATGACACAAGTCCCAGTAGACAAAAGCAAGATGCTCAGCTATCATCAGAGCTAAGTAAACATAGCAGGTATCATAACAGTGTGGGGCCAAAATAATTATAGGAGTGTGAAATTTAGCACTGATAAGAGGGTAAAGATTATGTTCACTGTAAAATGAATCATTAGGAACC